AAAACGAAGGCCACGGCCCCCAGTTCCCGGCAGCCCCACTATTCCTGGTCATGGTGGCGACCATGGTAACGGTGGGGTAGGGGGTGCTAAGAATCTCCGGGCTACGGGAGGCCACCACAACAGACTGACCCTGGCGACGTACAACGGACGCACGCTACGGCTTGACTCGCATCTAGCGCAACTAGAGGTGGAACTTGGGAAGATCAGGTGGCACATACTAGGGTTATGTGAAGTCCGAAGAGAGGGGGAGGACACGATAACTCTCAAATCAGGCCACCTGATGTACTTCCGTGAGGGAGACCAAAAATCCCAAGGTGGCGTTGGGTTTCTGGTTAACAAGTCCCTATCTAACAATGTTGTGGAAATGTCGAGTGTGTCGAACAGGGTGGCGTACCTCATTATAAAGCTCACCGAGAGGTATAGCCTTAAGGTGGTCCAAGTGTACGCACCGACCTCGGCACACTCCGATGATGAGGTGGAGGAGATGTTCGATGATATATCGAGGGCCCTCCACTCCACCACTAGGACTCACTTCAACGTTGTTATGGGGGACTTTAACGCCAAAGTGGGAGTACAAAATTGCAGTGAATCGGTAGTAGGATCCCATGGGTATGGAAACAGGAATCATAGGGGGCAAATGCTCGTCAATTTCCTCGAACGGGAGGGGATGTTCTTAATGAATTCATTCTTTAAGAAGCAGCCCCAAAGGAAGTGGACGTGGCAAAGCCCCGACACTATGACAAAGAACGAGATCGACTTCATCATGGCGGACAAAAGGCACATATTCAGAGACGTCTCCGTGATTAATAGGTTTAATACCGGTAGCGATCACCGACTCGTCCGAGGCTCTCTGAATATCGACTTCAGAGCCGAACGAGTCCGCTTGATGAAGGCCAGGCTCCGACCAACCCTGTTTCAAATCAAAATGGGATCTGAAGCGTTCCAGTTAAACCTGGAGAACCGATTTGCTGCCCTGGAAACCACAACCGACGTTAACCGGAACCTTGAAAACGTGGTTCGAGTTCTCAGGGAAGAAGGTACGAGATTTTGTGAAATGCAGCGTAAGGGCAAGAAGTCGAAGCTTTCGGAAGAGACTTTAGGGCTTATGAAGAGACGACGTGAAAACCCACCCGTCACTTCGTCAGAGAAGCGGGCTCTAAACCGAGAGATTAGCAAACACGTGCGACACGATCTCCGGTGCTCGAATACCCTTGCAATCGAGAGAGCGATCGAGCAAAACCGGGGGCCAAAAGTGTTCGTACAATCTCTTGGAAGAAGCCACCTGACGAAGTTGACCACAGCAAGTGGAGAAGTCGTTGTCTCGAAGCCGGCAGTTCTTTCGGAAGTAGAAAACTTCTACGGCCGGTTATACGCTTCGCATGCATCTCGACCTGACCCCGGAAATGAGGACTCTAGAGCCACTTTAATACGCCATTACACCGAAGACCTGCCAGAAGTCAGCATTGACGAAATCGAGATCGCTCTTGGACAGCTTAAAAATGGAAAAGCCCCTGGAGAGGATGGCGTTACGACAGAGCTTCTAAAAGCAGGCAGCAAACCGGTACTCAGGGAGCTGCAAAAGCTATTTAACGCTGTCCTGTTTGAAGGGAGAACTCCAGAGGCGTGGAGTCGGAGTGTGGTCGTCTTATTCTTCAAAAAGGGTGACAAAACCCTACTGAAGAATTATCGACCCATTTCCCTTTTAAGCCACGTCTATAAGCTGTTCTCGAGAGTGATCACGAACCGCCTTGCGCGAAGACTTGACGAATTCCAACCACCGGAGCAGGCTGGGTTTCGGAGCGGATACGGCACCATAGACCACATCCACACAGTGCGGCAGATTATACAGAAGACTGAGGAGTATAATCAGCCCCTGTGCCTAGCATTTGTGGACTATGAGAAAGCCTTTGACTCGGTCGAAATCTGGGCTGTTCTGGAGTCCCTGCAGCGATGCCAAGTAGATTGGCGATACATCCAAGTGATGAGATGTCTCTACGAGGCCGCCACCATGTCCGTCCAAGTACAGGATCAGCAAACAAGGCCGATACCGTTGCATCGAGGTGTGAGACAAGGGGATGTTATCTCCCCGAAATTGTTCACAAATGCAATGGAGGATATGTTCAAGACGCTGAACTGGAAAGGACGCGGCATCAACATAAATGGCGAGTACATCTCTCACTTGCGATTTGCAGACGACATCGTCATCGTAGCAGAAACGCTGCAGGACCTACAACGGATGCTGAATGACCTGGCTGACTCTTCTATACGCATCGGCCTACGGATGAACTTGGATAAAACCAAGGTCATGTTCAATGAACATGTACTACCGGAACCGATTGCAGTACACGGCGCTGTTCTCGAAGTCGTTCAAAAATATGTATACCTCGGGCAGACATTGCAGATGGGTAGAAACAACTTCGAGAACGAGGTGAATAGAAGAATTCAGCTAGGTTGGGCAGCATATGGAAAGCTGCGTCAAGTCTTCACGTCGTCGATCCCACAGTGCCTAAAGACGAAAGTCTTCAATCAGTGCGTCCTACCTGTCATGACATACGGAGCCGAAACGTGGACACTGACGGTGCGGCTGGTTCACAAGCTAAAAGTCACTCAGCGAGCTATGGAGAGGGCTATGCTCGGCGTTTCTCTGCGAGATCGAATCAGAAACGAGGTGATCCGGCAGAGAACCAAGGTAATCGACATAGCCCACCGGATTAGCAAGCTGAAATGGCAGTGGGCTGGCCATATTAGCCGAAGAACCGATGACCGTTGGAGTAGACGAGTTCTTGAGTGGAGACCGCGTCTCGGCAAACGTAATGTAGGACGTCCTCAGGCAAGGTGGAGTGATGATTTGCGCAAGATGGCTGGCAGGAGCTGGATGCGAGTGGCCGAAGATCGATCCCAGTGGCGTGCAATAGGAGAGGCCTATGTCCAGCAGTGGACTGAAAAGGGCTGATGATGATGATGATGAATAAAGTGAGTGAAGGGTTTATGCCTCAGAGTGATTGTGGTACTGTAGAACATTCAGGTCATAATAACATCAGTCAAATTTATCCTAGACGAAGGTCACGTTTTGTTCTTCAAGTGATCTAAAGAATCATTCCCTTCAAGCTTTGCAGTGGTCTTCCTAAGATCAGTCAAACAGTCTTTTATCATTTTTAATTGCCCCGCTATGTCCAATCCTAAGTTTTAAATAGAATTTTTTTTCCTAGATATGAAAATTAATCTTCTTCTCTTTCCTTAGTACGGCGTCAACCCTGATGAGAGATTGAGCTGGGTGATCGAAGGATTTAAAAGAATACAAGAGGCACAAAAGAACACTCGCATAGGCCCACTTCCTATGTCACGGCTCCTTCCAATGTTCTATGAAGATTATTTCCTATACTGGGGTGGGTTGGAAACAGTCAAAGGGGATTCGTATGCAATCAAGTGGCTCATACCACGGATAACATTGTTTGCTTCATTTGAGCAGGTAATTAAGCGATTTACAGTAATAGCTTAAGCACCTAAACTAAACTAGCTTTCGCACGCGGCTTCGCCCTCGTAGTGTTTTTATAAAAAGTAACCTATGTGTTAATGCAGGGTATCATACTCCTTACTCTTACATCCTACACGCCATGTTTAAACCAAACCGGTCAAGCCGTTTTTTGCGTAAAAAATAACAAACATAATTAGGTACATTCTCACAAACTTTCACATTTATAGTATTAGGTAGGATAGAAAGTAGGATATTACTAGGATGGTTGGATACGAAGAACTAGTGCGAGCCATGTGCCATGCTTTTGAAGAATACTCTTTTTTCAGTAGTGAACGATAACGACTGGGCCATTTAATGATAATACTCAATTATAGTACTTTATGCATTATCATATTATTGTACTTAAATTAGCAAAAATATTGGATTAGATTATAAATCGCGTAGTTGTATTTTTTTAAGGTTTTTTCTGCATTTGCACCAATGTTAATCTGGAGTGGCCTGTACCTTAAGTGGCTAATTGTTAATCACAAAAAAATATAACGCCGTGGTTTTGTAATTCAAACAGCATGAAACATGAAACGAATACTTCTAGCACGACAGGACACGCCACGGCGCGATAGTAAATTTTGTGCTTAAACGCTATTATTGTTTTTTTAATCGGTTGCACAAAAAAAATAAAGCCCTGAAGTTTTTTTACAGCATCGTAGCAAGTAATTTATTAAGGAATACTCCTTATACCTACCCGTTTTTAGTACTCCCTAACCCTTATCATCCTTATTAATCTGTCCGGAGTACTATTACTTTAATTTGTTTATAATATAAGTTTGAAGATATGACAGTAGGTAATAAAAGTTCCATTTCATTGAACAGATGAGTGAATTCCGGAAATTCTGGGGTCCCTGGGATGAACCAAACTTGAGAAACTTCAGACCATTAAGAGAACGCGGGGATCGACACGTTTTCTTTATAAACGCTCACTGGAATCAGTACAATTCATTATTGCCTATACCAAGACTTCCAGAGCCGTCTATATCAATATTGTCTCCAGCTTACCGAAAAAATTCTTGGCTGTTACCAATACAGAACCGCATTAAAGAAAATGAATTTGGAATGGACTCGCAAGATAAGAAACCCAACGAAGGCGCTACACACGGTTAACTTAAAAAATAATTATTTTCGATTGAAACGTATTTTTTGCAATGCAAGAAAAGAAAGGAAATCAACAATACATTTCTTTTTTATCTGTTGTACTCTATATTACCTACAACATTATTTTTTAGTTGTGTAAATATTATAGGCACCGTATGTAAATAAAATTGCATGGATATTTTTTATAAGAGTTTGTTTTTACCTTGTTTAAAATCTGGTATAATTTGATACATAATCATAATTTAATTCAAAATGTAGTTGCGACAATATCAAATTTTAAGGTGCTAAAAATGCTATATTCTAAAGTTACAACCTTGTTGACATGTCAATGTCAAGTTGTCACTTTCGGGAATGTCACCACTGACAGTGTCTGGTGTCAGTCAGCATAACAACAAGGTAACCTATAACTTTTGACTTCAGCTGTTTGTTACTCCGCTTAAAAGAAAATGCTGAGAAATATATTACGTACCAGCCGGTGGCTGGCACGGCGACAAATCAATAGTGTAGCTCCTGTATTACTGCGCCATTACCCACGGATATCTTCTGAAGCTACAAGTTTCTCTTTTGATCGACAATTTTCATCTACCCCGCCGACTTCTCAAGTATCCGAAGTTGACCAAGCAGTGTTCGAAGAAATCTGCAACGAAACTTTAGAATCCCTATGTGAATATTTCGAGGAAATTGTGGACTCGTCCCCTAATTTAAAAGGCGCTGATGTGACTTTTAGTGTGAGTATGCATCAATAACTCTAATTGTATTTATTTAAAAATATTTTTGTTATCTTTAATAAGGCCTCTGGAGTTTAGTTTTGGTTCACATAAAGATTTTCATCATTTCATTTGACGATTTCACAGTTCTCAACATCAAATCCTAGGTTATGTAAGTTTTAAAACTTAACTTTAATGAATGTTTTGTTTAAACAAGTGTGTGAATTCAGTTCTCAATTTATTAGTCTTTCCATAGCATCATGACAGGAACAATCAATAGAGATTAAACATTGTTATCTTGTTCTTATGTTAAAATTAAGGAAGAATAATACTTCTTAAAGAATAAAGAATACTGATGTATAATATTATATTGCTAACTTGTTTGAATATCATCAAATGACGTCATAATATACCATTGTTTTTTCAAGGACAAAGCAGCTATTAATTATGTGATTTTACATATTTGTTGAACAATAAATATGATTATTAACTATCCATTGTTTCAAAGTTCTCTACCTATTCTTCTCCACTTATATCAAAGTCTAAGCAATTAATTCAAATTCAATATTTTTTAACGAAAATAACATTCATTTTTTCTCATTACAGGATGGAGTACTAACAATAGCACTAGGAAACTATGGAACCTATGTAATAAATAGACAAACACCAAACAAACAAATTTGGCTCAGTTCCCCTGTCTCCGGACCCAAACGTTATGACTTAGTACTCAAAGACGGAGGCCACTGGGTTTACAAACATGATGGAATAAGCCTACACAAATTACTACAAGAAGAGATATCAAAAATAGTGACAAGCAAAGTAGAATTTAATAAATGTTCTCATAGTTTAGTGTGAAAATTGAATATTTTATTTATTTTTAGTAAGTAAATAGGTTTTATCATTTCATTTTTGTTTTATTTTTCTGTTATTTTTTTTAAATTCAAAATGGAGGTTATCGAAGATGGGAATATTATGGATCGGATTCCTATTTTGTTGCAAAGGGATTTGGAGTATTATCAGGTAAAGTATATATACATGTATATACTTATTATCTATGTTTTAATTTTGTAGTTTATTAGATTGAAACTTAGTCAATAGAGAGATATTTTGGTGCTATTAATTAATTATTTTTTTACATTGTGTTATTTTTAGACGAAGACTTACCAAATTAACACAATTAGAATTGTTTTCTAAGAGATCAATATTAAAATCGCCACATACTATTGTGAATTTACTGTTTGAACACGCTTTCTGCAAAACTTGTTCCATGACTGAGTTAAAAATGTTTAAGTTCTGTAAGTTAGGAGGTCTATAAACGCATATTACAACATGCCTATCCAGCTCCACACAGGACAATTCAATTGTATGCTCAATGGAAAGTGAAGTAATATCTTGTCTTTCTTTATATTTAATTGAGTTTTTTAATAATATCAAACTACCACCATCAATCATTGCTTGACGGCTAAAGAAACTACCAACACAATAATTTTAAAAACTCATAAATTCTACCTGATACTTCTTCATCCAATGCTCTGTTATACAAACTATGTCAAATTTAAATTTTTCTAAAAATAATTCCAATTCTAGTAACTTGGATGAAATGCCCTGAATATTTTGACTGAGGAGTGTAAAATTTCCTCGTTTGTTTTTAGAATATAATTTATTGCGAGAAGATACCTTTTGATAACTTGTAGCATTAGAATTTAAAAGGTTTTCTTCTGTTGTCTCAAAATTTAATTTAAAAATGTTCTTTTAATATTAAAATTCTGTTGTTGTGTCTGAATTTAATGCATGAAACAATGGCATATTAATATTCTTGTTGGCTTGTTTTTGTTAATTATATTGACCAATTAATATAAATATAGTTAGTAATAGGGTAGTTTCTAATCGGTTGATTCCATACTTTTTCAAAATAACTTTTGAATTAAAGTTGTTTATGAATTTTGTAAATAGCAAGTTAAAGAGAACACTAACTTTTTTTTAAAAAATTATAAAACCAATTTAACTTTCAACATCAATTCAATGATTATAAGCGTAATTATTTTGAAAAATTGAAAACCTTATTCTTTTTTGACTAAGAAAACCTCCCAATTATACTTTTTGGGCAATCACTACTAATCATGCCCTCTTACTTTAATACCTAGCTATGCTGTAGAATTGTTTGATATCTAAGTCTGTCTGAGCAGCACCTAGTAAATACTTTTTCAAAATATTCCAGAAAAATCAAACAGTATTATCTGAGACTATTTGCAAAGGAGTTGTTGGTGGTAGACTGGACTTCCCAAGGAATGCTTCATTTGCATCTGTTAAAATAGTACTCTGGTTGGAGGAGGAATTTTCAATTGCATTCAAGTATGAGATTTTTATTATTAGTAGAGCGTGCGTTCGTGCAGCGGAATGTTGTTGAATTTAAAGATTTTAATTATGCAGATATTTAGTGTATGACGTCGTATAATTGTGTATGGTAAAAAAAAATTTGTGCACGCAACCATTGTGGAGAAATTCACCAAAAACTGATTCCGCTGGGCGAACGTTGTCCTGGCGGAACTTTTTTTAATCCATAGACTTTAGAAGAAAAGAGATGTATCCAAAAATTAGTGTGTAATTGTGTATGTATGAATAAAACTAGTGCATGCATAAACTTCGGAGAAATTCAAGTTTCCGCTACGCGAACGTTTGGCCATTAGCTAGTTTTCATATAAAGCGCTTACATAGAGAGCTGTAGATTTTTACATACGTTGTTTTGAATTTGTGTATATTTGTTTAAAAAACAGATTTAAAAAAAAATCGTAGGGTTTAAAAGATAAAAATATAAACGTAAAATACGCTTATTAGGTCTTAGTTCTTAAAGTATGCACTTTGGGGTCTAGATTTTCACGTTTATACAAACCTTGTAAGTGTCTGCAACATGTTGCCAAATACCAATGATGTTCCGTTAGTAATTAAATAGTTATAGGACAAATTTACCATGAATAGATCACTGTTTACAAAGCAGTCAAATATCACGACTTTCTAAATGAATAGCATGGTACGGAATCACATCAGAGCTTCTGAAAGTGGGCGGAACACCGGTACTGAGAGTCTTTCAGAAGCTCTTCAACTCCGTCATATTCGAAGGAGCAACGCCGGCGGCATGGAGCAGAAGTGTGGTGGTACTATTCTTCAAGAAGGGAGATAACACTCTACTGAAAAATTATGGACCCATCTCACTTCTGAGCCATGTCTACAAGTTATTCTCGAGGGTCATCACAAATCGTCTCACACGTAGGTTCAATGACTTCCAGCCTCCCGAACAAGCCGGTTTCCGGAAAGGCTATAGTACCATAGACCACATCCATACGCTGCGGCAAGTTATACAGAAGACCGAGGAGTATAACTTGCCACTATGCTTGGCGTTTGTGGACTATGAGAAGGCTTTTGATTCGATCGAGACTTGGGCTGTGTTAAGATCTCTCCAGCGGTGCCATATTGACTTTCGGTACATCGAGGTTTTGAAGTGCTTATACACAAACGCCACTATGTCGGTCCAAGTACAAAACCAGAGCACTAAGAATATTCCTCTGCAGCGAGGTGTAAGGCAAGGAGACGTCATATCTCCGAAACTGTTTACCCCTGCATTGGAAGACGCTTTCAAGCTCTTGGAATGGAAAGGATCTGGCATCAACATCAACGGCAAGTACATCACTCACCTCCGGTTTGCTGACGACATTGTAGTCATGGCAGAATCGCTGGAGGATCTGAGCACAATGCTCGATGACCTCTGTAGAGTTTCTCAACAGGTAGGGCTCCGAATGAACATGGACAAGACGAAAGTCATGGCAAACGCCCATGTCACGCCCTATCCGATATCAGTTGGGAGTTCTAACCTCGAAATTGTTGACGAATATGTATACCTGGGACAAGTGATCCAGCTAGGTAGGTCCAATTTCGAGAAGGAGGTCAATCGTCGAATCCAACTTGGATGGGCAGCGTTCGGGAAACTACGCAACATCTTCTCGTCCAACTTACCTCAGTGCCTTAAGACGAAAGTCTATAATCAATGTGTGTTACCAGCGATGACCTATGGAACTGAAACGTGGTCTCTTACTGTGGGCCTTATAAAGAAGCTCAAGGTCGCTCAGCGCGCTATGGAGAGGGCTATGCTCGGAGTTTCTTTGCGAGACCGTATAAAAAACGAGGATGTCCGCAAACGAACAAAGGTTTCCGACATAGCCCAGCGGATTAGTAAGTTGAAGTGGCAATGGGCAGGGCACATAGCGCGTAGAACCGACGGCCGCTGGGGCAGAAAGGTTCTCGAGTGGAGGCCACGTACCGGCAAGCGCAGCGTGGGACGTCCACCTGCAAGGTGGACAGACGACCTGATTAAGGTCGCAGGAAGCCGCTGGATGCAGGTCGCTTCCAACCGGCCTATCTGGAAGTCAATGGGGGAGGCCTATGTTCAGCAGTGGACGTCCTGTGGCTGATATGATGATGATGATGATGAGCATGGTAAAATGTATGCCAATAATTTGTGTATTCATTCAACTATTCACATGCAAAATATCATTTTATTAAATTCAGTAATTAAAGAAAAACAATTATAATACTGACGAAGCATCGAAAACCTACATAACCCGACCAAGTTCGGATGGCTACAAAAAAGCGGCTGTGCAATATATTTAGGTAACATCCCAAAATTTACAGTATAATACCGGTATTGAATTGGTACAGGTGATAACACACTTGTTGTTTCGAAATAATTTATAGGCCATTTATTTTTGGACACCTACTTTTTTAAATGTATTTTACTATGACAGAAAGTAGGTACTATTTACGTAGGTACTTTATTTAAGTATGCGCTTGAGATATAATCTAATTATATTTAAGACAAATAAAATTCATACAGCTAATTTCTATTGAAGATTTCACGGATCAGGATTCTAACTATAGACCCCTTAGGAAAATTAAATATTTACCACATGTAAGTATGTACTACTGTTTAGGTAAATATTTATCATATTGTAGCTTATTACACTATTTAACCAATATTTTTATTACACTATTTATCCACTAGACTAGGCATGCACGAGCGTGTGTACGATACTGTGTTTTATTTTTTCCTAACGCTTGTGTACGATACTGTACCATATTAATAAATGCTATATTGGAAAGTTAAGAACGTTTCTTAGATATATGGCACGGCCGCTTTTTTGTAGCCATCCGAACTTGGTCGGGTTATGTAGGTTTTCGATGCTTCGTCAGTATTATAATTGTTTTTCTTTAATTACTGAATTTAATGAAATGATATTTTGCATGTGAATAGTTGAATGAATACACTAATTATTGGCATACATTTTACCATGCTATTCATTTAGAAAGTCGTGATATTTGACTGCTTTGTAAACAGTGATCTATTCATGGTAAATTTGTCCTATAACTATTTAATTACTAACGGAACATCATTGATACTTGGCAACATGTTGCAGACACTTACAAGGTTTGTATAAACGTGAAAATCTAGACCCCAAAGTGCATACTTTAAGAACTAAGACCTAATAAGCGTATTTTACGTTTATATTTTTATCTTTTAAACCCTACGATTTTTTTAAAATCTGTTTTTTAAACAAATATACACAAATTCAAAACAACGTATGTAAAAATCTACAGCTCTCTATGTAAGCGCTTTATATGAAAACTAGCTAATGGCGAAACGTTCGCGTAGCGGAAACTTGAATTTCTCCGAAGTTTATGCATGCACTAGTTTCATTCATACATACACAATTACACACAAATACACACTAATTTTTGGATACATCTCTTTTCTTCTAAAGTTTATGGATTAAAAAAAGTTCCGCCAGGACAACGTTCGCCCAGCGGAATCAGTTTTTGGTGAATTTTTCCACAATGGTTGCGTGCACAAATTTTTTTTTACCATACACAATTATACGACGTCATACACTAAATATCTGCATAATTAAAATCTTTAAATTCAACAACATTCCGCTGCACGAACGCACGCATTAGTAGAAACCTTTTCTATATTTCTGTATTGAATATAATGTTATTATACATGACGCTTACCTTACCCGCTATCAGAGAAGGCTAAAAAGATTTTTAGACTAGATGGAAGGATGGAAAATCTTCCTATATCTTCACTTTTGAGGCGAGAGTGAGTGTCAGACTCTTACTGACTAAAAACCACCCTGTTCCTACTCCTGTTATAAGCCGAGGCCGCGGTACCTTATTGCGGTTGCCCTGCAAGCCCGGTTGAGAAACGGCCCTCTTGGGCTCTGTCTGTGGCCATATTGGCTCTTTGAGGCGCCTACCCATATTTGTATTTTGTAATTTATATTATTATTAGCTGTGAGTCTATAAGGTGAGATAATAACGAGAGGGCTTAATCATAATCATGTTTGATCAAATCTCTTTTTATAAGAGCATTCTGAGTTAACAAGCTATTCATTTAAAGATTTCAATAGATATTCGTCTTAGGGCAGATTTTTCAATAGTCAGTTATGTGTTATCTAAGGAATAAAATTGTTGCTGTCACTCTCTTCTCTCTCTCTCTCTCTCTCTCTCTCTCTTCTATAAAACATTCTGACGCTACAACATCGTAATTATTCCCCAGATAACTTTTATCTGACCATTGAAAGCCCTAAATCAACAAAATACGAAGGTAGTCGAAGAATCTATTGAGAGAAATGTGCTGGCCTCTGTACGTATTTGTTTTTTTACATTGTGTATTACAGGCAAGGCTCAGGCATGTTCGTAATAACGAAGGAAGATGAGAAAAGTGATATTGGAGTAGCTAAAACTTCGGACCCTGATAAGTTCGTGCAGCTTGCCGTCAAATCTGGAGACTCATTACTAGGTGGGTATTATTATTATCGCCCTTTTGTTATAATTATTTTTTAATAAGAAGCGTTGCCCTACACTAGCACTTCCTTCTTTGTCGTTGGTGCGTTTACAAACATGCATAATTACTTTAGTAAGGCTTATCGTTGTGATTCAACAATGGACATCAATCGACTGCAGTCCCGCTATAAGCGGGATTAAAATTAAAATAAATATTCCATATAGAAAACTAATTTATCTATTTACATTAAAATTAAGCTGAAATCCCATCCTCAGAACATCTCCACATGTTGGCACAAGAAGCTCTTGATCATGCTGATCTCCCAGTACTCACAGCTACTCTCGGAGCTGCGGCGTTGTTGAAGAACAGCTTGTATTGCTACGTGCAGCATATTGAGGATAGCGGGAACCCTGAACGATACTCTCAAATTCAGGTAGTTTGCTTATGTGCTACTGTTTAGACCAATAAATTTTGAAAATTAACTGTTTTAAAACGATAATCCTACTAATATTATAGAGCTAAAAACCTTCAATCTCAGAAAAGACTGGGAATTAATCTTGTTGTGCTAAGATAATCTATTTATTAAGGAAGGTTTTAAAACATCGTGCTATGACTAAAAGGAGCCTGGCCGTGGGTTGGTAATCGGCCTCGTGGGAAACCGAGTTTCGAATATCTCGAATAGCTTTCGTGTTAATTAAAAGATGACAGTCGAAGGTAGCCTTCCTTAAACAGACAAATAAGTATAAACCTGTGTACCCATGCTTATTCAGGTTATACTTTTGGGCAGGTATGATTACATAATATAAATCAACGCCATCTATACTCATCTTTTTACTTTTTTTTTACAGAGTTGTTACAAACGCTACACGACTATGTCTGAAGCTGTTGGCGAACGAGTATTGGATCTACATAACCGAGTTCTTTCGCTGTACATACTGCAAGATTCTGGTGGACGACCGATAGATGGCAACACTAGGACTGTCCATGAAACTGGTACGCCTTCTGTGCAAGGATGGTGGCTTTATATGAATGGTTAGTATATATTTAAGATTACTTTAAACCAAAATTTAGTAAATCCGGATTCCTACCTACAATTAAATTTAAAGCGAGGATCGCCCGAAGCGGAGAAGCATCAGGTGGCTGTGTGCTCAGCTTGAGCGAAGCACCGGTTTATTCACAGGGAAGGGATTGTTGGCGGCGATCTTTCTCGCGTAGCCTTAGTATTGGTCATCGTGCGGAGTGAGAGGAACTGGGAATCCGTCTCCTAGAAAGTCATTTAGACACCCGCAACACCAAAGGAGTTATGAGTGCGGTGCCTTTTGGGGATAAGGGTTTCGGATATTTAATGATTGGGAAGGGATGAGGAGAAGGAGAGGGATTGGGCTTCCGGTAACCTCACTCACGGTGAAATACAACGCTGTGGTGGTTTCACGCCGGTTTTCTGTGAGGCCGTGTTTCACCTCGGTGGGACCGATCCATTCGTGTCAAAAATGGCTCCCCACATTCGCTCTAGCTACTTTTGTATAAGCTAAAATGTAATGCTTTAGTAGATTTTATTATGCCTTGCAAGTAGGTTTAGTTATTAAATTGTATGATTTAATTGAACTTAACTGTTAATAGAATGAAATATTTTTTCTGTTCAGGAAGTAGACGAGACCTATGGGATACTGTACCGCCCCGGATGGCGCAGAGAATATTCGCAGGAATGCTCAACGAAACTCTTACTATTCTCACTGTGAGATATTGTCAGGTGAGAGTGAACGCTTTCGCTACGCCCTCTGTAATAAGGTGGTTTCCAACTATTCAAATTCAATACTTTTATCCAAATGTCAAAATTGTATGAATCTCCAAATAATGACATCATAGTATTTTTGAGTCAAATAGCTTACTTAAAAATTTGCTAAAATATTTGAATTTTTTTTGTATCGACAGATCGATGAATAAAGGTGTAGATATTTTTCAATATTTGTACGTGGTCAGCTAAGTGACAAAAGCGTTTATTATATAATGTTTCTTGTAAAGCCAAGAACTAATTTTCTTGCGTTTAGGCCTTTTTGCCATACCTACTGCTGGAAACAAACATAGCTCACACATGGACCCATTTATTCTGTAGTATCCACTATTTAATTAATGTGATATATTTTTTTATGTCTCGCTTCTAAGAGTACTAACAATAGATGGCGTCACTGCTCTCATTGTATATAAACCATTAGTCAACAATGGAGTTCCTTGCTCGTTCTTCTCTATTCGAATCTACCCTTTGGAATGAGCACTTAGCTTTAGTGATGAACTGACTGACATACTATTAAAACATACCTATATTTTGACGATTGAGAAGTAACTGTTTATGGTTTAGTTGGAATAAATTTTGTTTTTGACTTTGACTGTCTTCTCTTTCAATTTACAGACAAACACAACGGAAACGACAACTCGTCTTCTCTTGAACGATATCTTGAACATTCTTCTTTGTGTGGCGCAACTCTTACCGTCAATTTGTGCAAGTGGATCCGACTTGGCTGGTCTTGATGTTAAGCATCAGACAAGAGATGTGAGAGATGTACATGCGAAGTGTAATGAACTCTTCAAGTGTTTTGTTTATAGAGGTGCTGATTTGCATTTTATACATCAGGTGAGTTCTGTAGGTATGTATATGTGTGTTTTGCCGTAGCGATAAGTGTTGGAGAGCCAAGCTTTGACACGAATGGGTCGGCTCGACCGGAGTGATACCAGGGCCCAGGGCCTCACAGAAAACCGGCGGGAAACAACCACAGCGTTGTGCTTCGCCGTCTGAGTGAGGTTACCCGAGGCCCAATCCCCCCTCCAAACATTCCCAATCGTTAAACATCCGAAACCCTTATCCTTAAAAGGCCGGCAACGCATTCTTAACGGGTGGTGTTGTGGGTGTTCGTGGGCGGCGCTGTTTGCTTAACATCAGGTAATCCGTCTGCTCGTTTGCTGACCAGTAAACTATACCATAAAAAATCTGCAAATGAAATATCTGTTTGAATTTGGTCTAGCTTAGTGTAGTTTTTCCGTTGTCGGCAAATATATAAAGACACTATTAAACACATTCAATGACTCTGTTAAGTACCTACTTATTTCTTTTACTGTAAATTCAAGAGTTATCTGAAAAGTACCTACTCCAGTTAAGGATACGTTTTTCTTTTTTAGGAGTTCAAAGAGAAAGATCCACCCTCAATACCAAGGGAATGTCCGTTTCCTTGGTTCACTTTCGTAAGTCCAATGTTATTCGACAAGTTAGACGATCCATCGGTGAGGAGCACGCATGACCTCTCCAACAAGACCGCATTTGGATTGGAGTTGATTGTGTTGTTGGCACAGCCTCAGCCAAATTGGGCGTTAATTGTTAAGGTACGGTTGCATAAGATACCCACGGTTGAATGCATAGCAAAATCACACACGTTTCACTTAGTAATTAGTTTTATCAAAACCTTGCTATAGGCGTTACTGTTTATTTAGAACTTATAATTAATTCCAAGTTCTGAATTTATTTATGGCTTATCGCACTAATTGCTTATTGCAGTAAGTAAATTAAGCAATAAGATATATAAGATACCTAGTTAGTAATAGCCATCAAATTTGCAACTCTTGAAAAAGGCCGTTAAACTGCGCCTGTTATTTCATTATCATTACGACCCTGAATATTACCTTAACATGCAAAAAGTAAAATAGTTAGTTTCTAAATTAAGTGATTTCGATGATAAAGTTAAGACGTTTTCAAAAATGGTGCTCGTTTGGTATGATGGTAAAAGTTTTCTTATATTGACAATGACTACGTAAATCGATAATGACCTGACTTCTATTACTCATTATTCTTAAATATTGACTATTAGTAGGTACTTGCCAAAAAGCACATACTCTCAGAATTATACGCAAGAGATTATTTGCAAGCGACTTGCTAAATGATTAAACTGAGATAAGCCACAGTGACTTGAATTAACTTAACTCCTTGGACGCTGTCACTTAAGTGCAATAGAAAGTCTGAAAACCGGTATTAGTGTTTAATTTCATCCAATCCCGTAACCCAAGCCCGCATCGTCAGGAATGTGACGTCAGGCACGTAACATTTGGATATTTTCTTAATTAATTAATTTGACTACCATTAATATGTCTCACGATAGTTACTGTATAAAATAAGTCCTTTTTGCTCTTCCAGGTGCTAATGATGCGAGACTGCCACCTCTCCCGAATGCTCCTAATCCGCGCCATCCGACACATGTGCACTGACAACTTGAGGTGGCCGGCAGACGGGCTGTGGTACAGCGTACATGATAGACAGAAGAAATGTAGCGGGTTTTTGTGCACTGCTGATGGGTTCTGCAGATTTAAGGGTGATGTTAATCGTAAGTGTCTTTATGAATTTTGTTGATTAACTGTGGGAGAGACGTGCTTCAGCACGAATGGACTGGCCTGATCAGAGTGATACCACGGCGTCTCAGAAAACCGTCGTGAAGCAACACTTGCGTTGTGTTTCGCCGTGTGAGTAAGGTTACCGGACGCCCAATCCTTTCCCCCATTCAAATTCCTCAAATCATAGGAGATTTAAATCAAAAAATAAATCTCCTTAAATCCCCAATGACTTACAAGTGGTCGGCTACGCACTTGTAGTAATTCCTTTGGTATTACAAGTGTCCATTGGGTAATCCGTGTGCTCGTTCGCTGACGTATGTCAAAAAGGTTTGCCAATCTGCTAACTATAGGGTATTTCATTCATAATATTGTCCTTAATTGCCAATTGAGAGCGGAATTATCGTCTGCATCGTACGTGATTCATGTTGTTTTGTACTTACTTATGACGGTCTTAAAAATCACATGACTTCATAAAAATTAAAAAAAAAAGTTGAATAGTTTAAAAATGATTGTACCGTCTTCGAACTATTTTTAACTTTAGAATACATTCGGACCTTTATAATAGTTTCATAATATTATTTCAGCGGGGGAGGAATTTGCCAGAGTGGCGGGTGCACTTACGTATGTCCTGGCTTCAATCGGTAGTAAGGCGGAGTTGAAGTCTACCTTATGCTATGCACTCGAGATTTCCGGAAGAGACTGGTCTGCTTGCTTGGATAAACGACAGGTAAATTTAAAAATAAACTATTTAACTGAACTGCACGGCTGGCGCAGGATCAGAGAAAACTGACGTTGCGTTATAACGTATCCGGATTTTGGTGTGATGTGTATGTGAATGTGTAAACGTACTATAAAAAGGAAAAAATGGTTTATATCTATAATATAAATCATTTTTGGACTCGGGTAGGTCTTTAAACTGCGACCAGACACCGAGGAGTGGGCAGCTGCATTCTAGTACAAGCACCAAAAGACAAAATCCGAAATGTGGAAATTCGACAAAGAACCAAATTCACCGACATAGCTCGTAAAATCTGAAGACGGACGATCGATGGGTCCGAAAAGTCCTAGAGTGGCGACAAAGGAACGGAAAACGTAGAGTGGGCAGGCCTCCGCTAGGGGGACCGACGACATCGTCAAAGTCGCGGGGAGCCAACGGATGCAGGTGGCTACTTGTCGTTTGACGTGGAGAGCTAAGGAGGAGGCCTTTGTCCAGCAGTGGACGTCTTCCGGCTGATGATGATGATGATAAATCATTCTAAGATTATCAAAATATCTACTTTTTTAAAACATACTTCTAGAAGAACCTTGTCCTGATTACACTCAGCGTAAAAATAATTTTGCAATCAGTCTAGTCATTTATGCATGAAGCCATGATCAAGAGAAATGGGGGTTAATTTTTTGTATTATTTATATTGTTATTGATAAATTATATCTGAATTTATTGTTTTAGGTGTGGTGCGATAGACGACCGCCATGGTTAGCTGGCATTCTGGCACTAGTGGGCTCAATCCTACAGTTTATACCACCCATACTAGTGAACGCAGTGCAAAGCGGAGCTTCTATGTATCAGGTAATTGTAGTAGCAGAGTATGACAAACTGTTATTATTGTTTAACAAAATTTTAATGTTATTACTAAAAGATACAGTTTAATTACTGAAAGATACAGTTAACAGTCCAAAATGGTATATTGGTGTATCTTCATGTGCTGGCGCATAACATCTGCAGAAACAAGATGATAAAAACAACAAAAAAATTTTTTAACCGTGACTTCTGGTTATTATTTCGTTATTTATTAGTTCTATATAGTTTATTATTTAAACAAGCCACAAAGCGACAAGCCTAAGCACGTGTGTTGACGGCAAAGTCTAACACCGTTAGCCACTGCGATGACAGCGCCCCGATATTCAATTTTCTTTACTTATACCATACGAACCAGAAACGTGCGTACTTATAATCCAATATATGAACCTACCTATGTTTACAGTGAATGTAGTAATTTTATATCTACCACCTATGATTATCACCAACAAAATAAGTTTAATAAAGTCTTATTAATATCCCCCAATTAGGTAAATCATGTTATCTCTATAATGTGTTAAAGCTCGTTCTCTCGTTTTACAGACTATGGCTCTCTGCCTATCTTGCATATCAAGATCTCTAGACTGCGTTCCCCGTTGCTTCGTGAACGCATGCTCAATTATAGAAGGCACTCTTCCCTCTCATATAAATCCTGTAGGTGGTTCAGTTTTATTACAAATGCTTGTTACTGTAACATATGAGGAAATACAAAAATGGGCTGAAGAAGAAGTTGAGAAAGAAAAAGCAGGTAAGCGCCATCTGTTAATGATCTACATTAAACTTAATATATGCAAGTTTTTTTTGGTGTTAGCGCCATCTAGTAGTGGTCATCGTGAAACAGTGATGAAACATTAATAATTTCTTACGCTGATTATGTTCTATGAAAATGTATGTGATAAAGGTGAGTACAACAAAGTAAAAATCGTATTTATGTTATGATATTTTATTTTATTTGGCAGTAGCTTCGGCAGCGAATGGAGAGCCGCATATAATGAGTGCAAAATCAAGCAGACCGAAGTCTAAGCAAGTGAGGATCGTTGCCCTTGGACAAACAAGTAAGGGCTTCAATTTTTTTTCATTTAATCGAAGGCAAACTGGCATGCGTGTCACTTGATGGTATTGATTACCGCCACCCATCGCAGGAGTCACAGACTTTTTGATAGTCTTTTTAGAAAGAATTAAGGCTCGTATCTTGAATGGTTAAAGTCGTGTTTGGAAAACACTGCCACCGCAGAATGTTTCACGAAAATGGTACGCATGATTAATCTAATCGATCAACTTTATAATAGGTATAGATTGCTGCTTCTGTGATACTACAGAACTGCAGTATTTCTTTGCATATTTAAGAATTAAGAAAAAAGTTTACTTCTTTTTTGATATGCTCGGTCTCTACTCGGGAAATGGTGGGAGAGCCAATATGCATCGGCATGCGAATTGGCCGGCTCGACCGGAGTGGTATCACGGCCTCACAGAAAACCGGTGTAAAACAACAGTCACGTTTTATTTCACAGTGTGTGAATAAGGTTACCGGAGGCCTTATCCTCCACCCCACACCCCTCCATCCTCAATTGCCAAATTAAATGCCTAATATACCAATGTGACTGTTTCCGAGTTATAAGGACTTTCTATATTTATTTAGACACAACTAACATACGGTGAAGGTAAGCATCGAGAGGAAACCTAGACGTATAATTTATAATTATTATAAGTTTGAAATCGCCAACCCGCATTAACCAAGCGTGGTGATGAATGCTCTAACCTTCTCCGTATGAGAAGAGGCCTTTGCTCAGCAGTGGGCACTTATAGGCTAATGATGATGATGATGATGATGATGAGGGGTTGGGAACGCCCTTGTCTTGTCCTTGGGTGGCGTTGATTGCTTACCATTAGGTAATCCGTATGCTCGTCTGCAGACCTACATAAAAAGACTTGGTTACTGTCATGTGTGGTGATCTGTCAGCATATTTACCTTCCACATCGTAAAATACGTCAGTGGGCAGGTCACATTTTTCAAAAAACCGATGACCGCTGGGGTAAACGTGTTCTAGAGTGGAGACCACGTCTAGGCAAACGTAGTGTAGCGCGCCCTCCAACTAGGTGGACTGACGACATCCGCAGGGTGGCTGGCAGTGGTTGGATGAGAAGAGCTGAACAACGAGCTCAGTGGCGTGCAATTGGGGAGGCCTATGTCCAACAGTGGATGACAACAGGCTGATGATGATGATGATGATCGTAAAATAATCTTAATCCACAAAGTACAAGCAAATGTTTTTTCAGCAACGTCATCCTTAAGTTTTGATGGAAGTCACAGCAGCCCCTCGTCCATTGCCCTGGCAGTTGCCGAAGCACTCTGCTCAATAGACGAAGACGACAAACATACTCGAGACATCCAACTCTTGATAGAAAAGGCGAAAAGAAAAGTTGTACTGTCTGAACAATTCGGACTTGAAGATTTTCCTGAGTTCGCCGAGTTGTTTGAAGAGGTATGTTCTAATTGTTTCTCATTCTGATTACGTCTATGCTATAAGCATAGCTATAGCTATACCAATATTATAAAGAGGTAAAATTTGTAAGTTTGTATGTAGGGGGTAATCTTTGGAACCGCTGGTCGGATTGCCAAAATTCTTTCACTGATAGATAGCTACAATGTTCCTAAATGCTATGCTATAAAGCATCACGCTACAATCAAATGGAGCCGAGCAGAGGGTGAAACCGCGCGAGATTAGCTAGTGCCTTATAAAAAGGTCAGCTAATACTTTTATCAGAAAACATTCCTTACATTTGAAATAATTTAAGGACGTACCTATATGTACTATAATTGTTAGGAGTGAGTTTGTTGAGATATATGCCCATTAAAATATCTTTTAATCTTTCTAATACTTTTCTATCCCCATTTTTTATGTTGTTTTTTCTTTTACTTCGATCCATATTTGTAAAGCAGTCAATTTGTACCAGTTTCAATACTCTTTAGTTCTCAAATAATCTCGTTAGTATTAATAATAGTTATAATGTATTCGTATTGTAGGGCGACGTGCCAGGGTCTAATGCAGAACGGGCAAGCGACGCCGCTGCCCTCACTAGTCAGATACTTATGAAACCTCCAGGAAGAGATAGTCTTCGAGTAAGTATTTACATTACCACAAATTGATACTCATTTTATACGAATGAGTATCTCGAGACATTTCCTTCTTGAAAAAAGCCGACCTAACAAAAGAGCTGGGTGTTATTGCAGTTTCGTTAGATTGTCAATTCGTCGTCAGATTCAGCCATTATTTCTAAACATTCATAAAAAGTATAAACACCTTTGTTTTCTTTACGTTTTTGATATTGAGGCTAACCATGACGTTCAAAGTAAAATTGTTTTAATCTTACTTCAGTGTGGGTAAGAGAAAGAGGTATACCAGTTGTCTAGCTCTGTCTCCCCATTATCCATTTCAATTTAAATACCTGATTGAAAATAAAGTCTAGCCTTCGTAACTACAGTGCCCAATTGACATAAATACACCATCTCACTTTTAAACATAAGAACGATGAAGTTAAGTATTTCTTCACCTTATTACCGATGTTGTAGGTCATATACGAACACCTAGCGCTGCATTCAGAATGGATATACAAGGAACTAGGCATCAGAGATTCGTGTGACATCGACATACCTACCAACAAAACGCCACTATTGTACACCATGTTCCATATTGGGAAACAACCGTTTGATCAAGTGAGTATTTTTATGAGAATAAATCTGCCATGTTTATTATTTATATTGAAAAAGTAAAACTCAAAAAAACCTTCCTCCCTCCCTCCCCAATCCCTAAATCTCCAAACCCTAATCTCCAAAATTTCGGCAACGAACTAGTAGCTCCTCTGTTCTTGCGGATGTTCATGGGCTGCTTACCATCCATCTGCTCGTTTCCCGTCTTATCACATAAAAAAGCTAAGCACATAATAACTGTCTTAAAGGTCTGAATAAGTTTTACAGAATATTTTATTTCCATAATCCTCAGTTCCTTCGTGGTGAATGGCCTTTACCCTGGAGCAAGCTGGTCGCCGTCGCCAAAGCGTGGTCTGGTTTGGAAGGAGTCAGAGTCCACATAAACAGGCGCACTGACGTCCGCAACATGAAGTCGCAAGGCAAATCTAATAAACAGTTGATGCAACTTTGTTCTCTGTTTAAATCAAATAGTGAGGGACTTTTGTAGTACTAACACTTAGCAGTCAATTTAGTCAAAATAAGGTAAGAATCTCGGAATTTTAGATACCACATTAATTGTATAAAGTTTTATTTGTGTGATGTCGTTCGGGCTCATATGATTTCGGTTCGGCTCGTATAATTTCGGTTTGGCTCGAGTGATTTCGTTTCTGCTCGTATAGTTGTGATTTCGGTTCGTTTCGTATAATTTTGGTTCTTCTCGTGTGATTTTGGTTCGGCTAGTATGATTTCGTTTCTGCTCGTGTTATTTCTGTTCGGCTCGTATGATTTCGGTTCTTCTCGTGTGTTTCGGTTCGTCTCGTGTGATTTCTGTTCGACTAATATGATTTTCTTCTGCTCGTGTGATTTCGGTCCGTCTCGTTTGATTTCGTTTCGGGTCGTATGATTTCGGTTCGTCTCCTTTGATTTCGTTTCGGGTCGTATGATCTCAGTTCTGCTCGTGTGATATCGTTTCGGCTCGTATGATTTCGGTTCGTCTCGTGTGATTTTGATTCTTCTCATATGATTTAGTTTCGTTTCGTGTGTTTCCGGTTGATGGTGATAGTTGCTGAAAATGTAAAAAATGGTTTTTGTTAACTTGAACCTTAATTTCTGACGGATGTGAACACCTTACAGTACAAGTTTAAAGATGTCGCAAATTAAACTTTATACAAATATACAGATTGGTATCTCAAATTACGAGGTGAAATTACTAAGATGACTGGACTAAATGTTCGACAATCTTCGGGCTACGTCGGTTGCACACAAAAAATAAAATTCTTGTCGAATCTGTTTGTGCCTTATTGTTTCAGAAGATAATGTTTAGTAAATTGTTATGTATTTATGCTCCAATGAAATATAACTAAAATGCTAATTAAATAAATAAAATTGATGCCTTAATTTTTTTGTTTTTTTTTACGGTTTATTCATTCTTTTTCTGTCAGTCCACTTTTAGGTGGACAGTATGCAGCAATACATAAAGTTATGGGAAGTAGAGGTTCATATGAATCCAAAGTTATTTACATAATAATCAAATTATTAACCAAGATTTGATTACATAGTATTATATATTCTTATACCAAAACTTTTTTCAACTATACCATATAAGGATATGATAAAATTAAAAAAAAGTTTATGTATAAGTATAAAGTTATGGTATAGGTGAACAAGGCCGGAAATAAAAAAAGCAACTGAATAACTTTTCCATACCCTATCATCGGAGCAACCCTATGCAATTTGTCAACGATATCTATAAACGTCAATGCTGACACATTGTTAAGACGTCACACAAAAACCTCCCATACACCGCCCGATAAATATTCACAAAGATGCGACATGAATTGTGAAACATCTCCCACAAACTAAAGTTCTTAGTTATCATAACTTTTGTACCGAACTTTTGTAACTTTCTACTACTCTTATAGACATTGACATTTAAGTTTAAACACGGCAGATTGAATTATAACTTAGTTGGTAATAAGTTTGTGGACTGTAACTGTTGTGAAGAAGTACGTAATTTTGTTTCGATATCTGATATTTTAAACGTGGAACGACTGGCGGGTTTTTCTCAAGTTTAGTTTTGGTTTGGACGTTCGGTTCGTGTTTTGTTTTTAAAGTTTAAAGCTTGCTGTTCTTCTATATGTTTTATCCGTTGCTTTTGTCCCATAACGTTTGAATTCAAAGGGGCATATTTTGGTAATTGATTTAACTCAGTCCGGGTGCTTCTATAAAAAACCTTATTATTCAAGCGTAGTTTTTTGTGATAAAAAAGCAACCGCGTTAACCTGATGGTAAGCAATCGGTGGCGCTCGTAGGTACACACAACACCAGAGGACTCACGGTCTTTTAATGTTTCGTAGATTAAGGGATTGGGGGAGGGTAAGAATTAGGCTTCCGGTAACCTCATTCACACGGGAACCCCAACGCTGGGTTTCTGTGAGGTCGTGGTATCACTCCGGTCGAGCTGGCCAATTCCTGCCAAAGCGTAGCTCACCCACACTTAATTTCGAAGTATTTTTTTCTCTTTGATATGAGTTATGGTTGGAAAATTATCTTTTTACTTCTCCTGCCCTTAGTGTCTGATCTTACTTATTAAAAATCAACCGGTTCCTTCTCTTGCTCAGAACCAGACCGCGGTACATAATTGTGCTTGTACGGCTAACTGCAAATGCAGCTGCAGATCGTGAGAATGATCAAATTGGTATCGGTGACCATTGATGAGGACAAAAAACGAAACTGGTGTAAATTGAATGGATTCAATACTTCGGACGGTTTGTTGGTTTATAATACTTATCATCCTACGCAACTGGCTATTCCTAAAAGAATAAAACCTCAAAACTAATCAAAGAACACACTAAAATCCGAACGCAAATCGAAGTGGTTTATAAGCCACGAAAACGGCGTATCGGAAACCGATGCAAATAAACTTGACTGGGGTTCGAAGCCGAAATCTTTAGCGGGCAAACAGTGACGGTTGTTACTACACTACGCCCTATACAGTTCGACATGTTAGATGTAAATCGAGAACAGCCAAATCATTACTATGGGATGTGAAGTCGAAAGCAACTTTTATGCGTGAATAATGACATACTCTGGAAAAACAGACTATAATACATTTTATAACCGCATTATGTATAGTCCTCTTTTGGCGCGTAGAGTTTTGCGCGCGTCTCTAAGTCCAATAGACCACCACAGACGGAGCCATATAGGGCTGATGTTCAGCCGGGGTTGCGGGGTAAGCGCAATGAGTCACCGCGGCCTCGGCCCAGAGCAGAAGAAGGAATGGGGGGTTTTTAGTCAGTAAGAGTCTGGCACTCTCTCGTGCCCGACTCTGGGCGGGAGAAGTCATTCGATGATTTTCCCTTCACAAAAAAAGTAGACAGTCTTCTTTGGAAAAAGTGATCAGCGCTTCCCAAAAAATAAGAATGCCTGTGAGTTTGCTTTTCTTTTTTAAAAAATTGGATTCAATTTAAACGAACCTATAAAATATTTAAGTAAAAATGATACAGAACAAAGCATCGACTCTCCAGTGACTTAGGAACCCAGGATAGCGGTTGGATCGTCGAAGTTGTCCTGAAATTGTTTATTCAAAGCGCGCCGCGGACGTGATACGATTGTTACGTTCCGGGATGATTCCAATCAAATTTTGATTTATTCCTTTTGTTTCCACTTTACATTTTCGGTAATGTCCAACTGATTTTGTTGGGATTTGACGTGGGATCAAGTTCTTGAAACGGAATGAAATAGGAGACGTGTTTAAGCATGTTAAGCTTGACTGTGATTTTCATTTTATATTTCTTGTTAAATTTTGTTTTGGCTTTTTAAATGTTTGTTTGTATTTCGAACTCAAGTATAATGGCAAAGTCCAGTAAAGCTATTTTTTAATATTTTTAAATAATTCTGTATCGTTTTGTAAGTGGCCATATCCCTTGATTGCCAAAAATATTGAGATATCCAAAGTTTTATTGGTATTTACTTTAGAATTTATTTTAGAATTTTTTTTTGTTTTTGTTTTATTTGTAGACTTGGTGGTTGCCCTTGCAATTTCACTCCATTTTTTTCTGTTTATGGCATACCTCGCACACTCCACTATTGAGCTGGATGTCACTGATTTTATAAGGTCCGTCCATCTAATTGGTGACCGACCGGGAGGACGCTGATCCCCTATTGCAAGGGAGAATTCGTATCATATAGGTTAATAATATGACACGAATTTTTATTGCAATATCTTGCAATATACATATTTACTTCACATATAAACAGTTTTTAAGCCAAACCTACGTTGACCGCTTTTTTGCCTGCCATTGTCAAAAATGTGCCAGTTCAGGTCGCTTCTACTGAAATGCACTAATAATAGTTATTATACATTTCCTGTTCCATTTTTAGCTCACCTACTATTTCTGTTGATAGCATCGAGTAAGCCTTTTGTTTTCTTACTTTTTTGCTTGTCATATTCTGAACAGTGTACGATGTCACAGGCGAGGTCATGGTGACCTGATAGTTAAAGCAATTGTTAGGGCGTTCGAACAAGTAGTGGCAAGTAGCAAAGTATGTGGGTGTGTGCATTTTTTATGTAATAGGAGGTAAACAAGCAGTCTGATAACCTGATGGTAAGTGACCAGAGCCGCCCAAAAACACCTTCAATACCAGAGTAGGCGAGTTTCAGGCCTTTTAAGAAACTTCAAACCGAATAATTCCCCAAAACACTCCCCGTGGTACATGCGATAGCGAACATAGCGAGGCTACATCCTTACGCAGCGCCAAAGAGTCCAGCCGGTCTGAGTTATATGTATGTATGTTGCAGAGTTTTATGTGATTTTAAATATATTCAGAAAACACTGACCTTCCGTCAAGAAAAAATATCATGAGGATACGTGAACTTATAATTTCTACATATAAATTTGATATCTCCAATTTGATTTAAACAAGCGATTAATGCTCAAACCTTCTCCGTGTGAGAAGAGGCCTTTGCTTAGCAGTGTGCACAATATTATAAGCTGATAATAATGTCTCACAGTCAAGTGATCTTTTAACCTCCCTAGTTTAATTATTAATATTTAACATATATAATCTAGACACAGTTAAATATCCACTTTATCATAACTACTCAAAGCACAATCTGAATTCACACCGTCCAGAATATTCTAGAAGCCAATATATTATTACTACGGCGAACCACCTCATTCTATTAGAAATGGAGTTGCAACCAGGGCGTTGCACCTTATTACTAATCATACAATATCCGAAACACATAAACAATAGGTTCCCATTTCCTTTACGGGCAGAATTTGCAATCTTAGGGAACTATTGACGAAGTTGTAGAAGTAAGCATAAATTGTGTCTCTAGCCAATAGTTTGGAAACTAAATGTCCGCTTTTGTGAGCTATCTAGTAGCTTTGGGCGCAGTTGGCATGACTTGGGTGTATTTGCTAAGTAAATTGAGACCGGCTTTTGCGCTTGCTTCTTAGTTGTGAAGTAATAAGGAACGCAGACGTGAGAAAATTAGTATTT